TCTCCCATCTGATTAAAAATATGATGGTTTATTTTCCATTTAGCTAATTACGCTTCCTTATAGAAACTACAATTTGCAAATTTATATTTGTTCATAAAACTTATCTTAGCATTCAATTAAATCTAGTGAAGTAAGAGAAGCATTTTTTAAAAATATCCTAACACAAAAAAATTCAATTCAATAAATTAAAACAGTTTACAATAATATAAAATTGTAATCATACTATTATTAAAATTACAAAATATTAAAAAAATAGCAAAGATGTTTGTAAACAGTTGTGTCATAAACAATGTAAGCTGTGGTAGTAAAGTGGTTAATACATTGCATTGTGGCTGCAAAAGCCCAGGTTCAAATCCTGGCCATAGCATTTTATATCTAGCTTTACTGTATTTGCTGTTACTTTATTACATGTTCAATTGTTATAATTAAATTTTTGTTAATGCATAACAAAACGCTATACAATTATTATAGGTTTCAAGCTAATATTTAAAAAAAATGCTTTAAATAAGAAAAAAAAAGATGCAACAAGATATATAAAACACAGATTATTACACATTTTCTTAATGTTTGAATAATTTAAACTTTCATTAAAATTATTGCGTTTTTTTTCCAGTAGAATTTGCATAAACTTAAGACACTTAAAAATCACAGTTTTTACAAGAAACGTCTTAAACGATTTTCAACGTATGACGGACATTTAATGTTACTGTTGTTTTGTATTAATTTCATCTATTCGTAATTTTTTTTTAAAAGTTCTTAATCAAGCAACTTTCATACTGTTAAGAAAGCATATATGTAAAATTAATTCTTTGTAAAAGTTTGCATTGTTATATTTAAACAATTAAATGAAAAAAGTAAATGAATAAAGTTTTATAGTATAATAATTGTGCTGTAAAACGAAATAAAACCAATTTCGAAAACGGACTTCTTGCTTTCAGAATTTGTTTTATTTTGTTTTATATCAATTTATCAGCTTGTCCTGGTTATTGGCCTAACATTAGAAAAAGCGATAATATGAAGAAATTCAGATGTCCATTTTCGGAATTTGTTTTGTTTCCTTTTACTCAAAATTGTCTGCTTGTTCTGGTTATATTAATTCTGGGTATGACAACCATTATGCTAACTGGGGTATTAGAATGATTCTTGCATGCACACAAAAAGTACCTGGTTTAATTTCTATTTGAGCCTTACCAACAATAATAATCGCATTGTTCTCTGATGGTTAATCATCACTGTTTCAAGTAAAAATTAAGTACAATTACTAAGTATTATTTGCAACACTTCTTAATATCTTGTTTCTGTATGTCAATTTTGGCAGAATAAAAAACATAAAAACAGTACTAAAACAACGATATAACTTATATTAATAAACTATGAAGAAAGAAATAATTTGTAAAGTTTTTTCTAAGTTTGCTTTTTGACAAACTTTCTATTTATAAAGTGTAACACGTAGTTTTGTAATAGAGAAGACTAAAAAAGAATAATATATTGCTTATAATGTTGCACATATTAGTACAATAATGTGGCAACATTTAATATTGAATTTCATGAAAACAAAGATAGGACTTTTACAATTCTTATCTACGTATAAAAAACTTATTTCATCTAACAGCATCCAAAACCATCTTAAATTTAATAATAAAGTTTTATGTGTAAACTGAACTTTCTCAAGTTGTAGTGAGGATTTGAACGAAGGCCCTAAAAATGAGAGTCTTATGCTGTGCCAACAGACATACTCTAGCTTTCCTAGAAACTATACAATCTTTCTAATTTATTTTTGTTAACAACACTTTTCTCAACTATTAATTCAATGCAGTAAATTTATGAAAGAAATATCCTAAAAGGATTTAAACCCTGCATAATACATTGTATACTTTAAAAAATTGCCAAGTATTACGAAAAATAAGTAATATTACACTTTGTATATTTAAGAAAACAACATTTTTGGTACCTACAAAGAATGTAGCAAATATGTATATCAATGCTTGTTTGATGCACACTGTAAGTTATGGTAGTAAAGAGGATCTATAACAACACTTAGAACATATAAGCCAATGTGCAAGTCTTGCACATAGTATATATGTTCAAACATACAGTACTTACAATAATTTTGCATAAGTGAGAGTTTTTTAAATGACAATTTCTTTATTTTAGTATTAAAACCGTACAACATTATTATAAATATCTGGATAGTACACTCAAAAGGGTAATGGGATAAGTTTTCAACTTAGTTGCTTTTTACATAGAATTCATATTAAAGTGTCCAAATTAAGCATGAAATAAATCACACCATATTATATTTAACCTATACTTTTTGTAAACCCATAGGGGATTGAAACTTCTCCCATCTGATTAAAAATATGATGGTTTATTTTCCATTTAGCAAATTACGCTTCCTTATAGAAACTACAATTTTGCAAATTTATTTTTGTTCATAAAACTTATCTTGAAATTCAAATAAATCTAGTGAAGTAAGAGATGCATTTTTTAAAATATCCTAAAACAAAAAAATTCAATTCAATAAATTAAAACAGTTTACAATGATATAAAACTGTAATCATAATATTATTAAAATTACAAAATATTAAAAAATAGCAAAGATGTTTGTAAACAGTTGTGTCTTATACAATGTAAGCTGTGGTAGTAAAATGGTTAATACATTGCATTGTGGCTGCAAAAGCCCAGGTTCAAATCCTGGCCATAGCATTTTACATCTAACTTTACTGTATTTGCTTTTACTTTATTACATGTTCAATTGTTGTAATTAAACTTTTGTTTATGCATAACAAAGGCTATTTAATTATTATAGCTTTCAAGCTAATATTTAAAAAAAAAATGCTTTAAATAAAAAAAAAGATCTAACAAGATATATAAAACACAGTTTATTACACATTTTCTTAATGTTTCAATAGTTTGAACTTTCATTAAAATTACCGCGTTTTTTTCCCGTAGAACTTGCATAAACTTAAGACACTTAAAAATCACAGTTTTTCAAGAAACGTCCTAAACGATTTGAAACGTATGACGGACATTTAATGTTACTGTTGTTTTGTATTAATTTCATCAATTTGTAATTTTTTTTTAAAAGTTCTTAATCAAGCAACTTTGATACTGTTAAAGGAGACATGCAACATAAAATTCGGATTGTTATTTTTGTACTTTACATGAAGGTGTAACTCCAACTAATAGTTCACCAAAGTTTGAGACTCAAAGGATAAATATTTTTGAAGATATGGAGGTTTAAATTTGATGCTTTACTGATAACGTATTGAAAATGCCCGACGAGCTAGCGACAGCTACCGATGTCGTTGTGACGTAATAGTTGACATTCGCTAAACGCGGTCAATTGCGCGCTTTGTTTAAAATATATTGGTAACTTCTTAACAACACGACAATTTAGCATTGAAAATATGGTTTATTGTGCCGCATTTAATTGTAAAAACGTTTCTTCTAAGAACTACGAAACGCAGCAAATGGTTTCTTTTTTTTGTTTCCGAAAACAAGCGCATGCGATTGAAAAAATTTGGATTGAAAAAATCCGGAGCAAAAATTGGAAGCCAACAAAGAGATCAAAATTGTTCTCGCAACATTTCGAGAGTTCGTGCATCTTGCAAAATTTTGAAGCGATGCAATCAGTAGGATGGACAGCAGGACGGCTTCGCCTTAAGAAGGATGCTGTACCTACGTTTTTTGAATACTCTGTGGAACCCACAAGTGTAGCATCTAAAAGGAAGCAGCCAACAAATGTTAGAACTGCATTTGAGAAGAGACGAAGGCAAGAGGTGAATATTATAGTTATAGTTAGCAATATTTGTTTACATTTATCAAAAACTAAGCTATATAGCATTACCAAATTGAAGACAATTTTATAATTTTAGATTATTGACGACGTTCTTGCAGAACATGACGACTTTCTTGTAGACGACGACCACGATGTGTCGACATCGGCTCGAAATGTTTGTGCGTTTTACCTCAAAGGAAGTTTGTCTAAGATGAATGATGTCAAAATATATGTAGACAGCGAAACACAAACATATGCAGTGGTCACTAATTCAGACTAATGTCGTTTGATCTTTTCTTTGTTATTTTAACTCATAAAAAATTCCTTAACGTATCTTAGAAGCGCAATGTGAAATGCCAAGCAGCCATAACAATCCGTCCGCAAAAACACGTAAGGTCAAGAACCACTCAAACAAAAGTGCCAAATATGATAAGTAGAGGTATAGACTTTCCATTCCGGCCGTTTTGATTTTTGTGAAAAATCCAGCAATACGATATTTTTATGCTAAGGTACGGAGGTTGAGTTCGTTTCAACAAAAAATCACAGCACACAGACGACGTCATGTAAATTGAACATTTTGAGGATAACGCTGTATGGTCTGATACAGAAAGCACGTCGACGATGAACAATAGCAACAATGGATCAGACTCTCAATGTTCAAATGAGTTAAGAGAAATGAAGAATCCGACAATGACAATGCGACGTTAGTACCAACTATCCAGTCACCTGACTATTCTTTACATTGCTTTTCTCTGTTATGTTTCTCAGAACGTTACGTTTATCTCTCTCTGATTCTGATGGTAATTTTTATGTTATAGTGAAGACGTTCAAAATGAGAGAAAATACATAGTGTTTGATAGTTGCCTGAGACAGTAAGTGAGTCAATGCCCATGTTGTGGTGAAAGCTGTTCCATTGTGACCAAAACGACTGGTAGTATGGTTAACGTACTAACAAAATGTCATTGTGGTTATGTTCGAGACTGGAATAGCCAACCTCTGCATGGGCGAATGCCTTTGGGCAACTTGGTCTTTGCTGCCAGCATCTTGTTTAGTGGTAGTAGCCCCAGCAACGTTCTTAAATTCCTTCGTCACTCAGGCATACAATTTCTGTCAGAGCGCACATATAGCTATATTCGAACAGCGTATTTGATACCCAGTGTTTCAAATGTTTGGCATATGAACCGAAAGCATCTTCTAGAATCAATCAGAGAAAGGAACATTAACCTTGGAGGAGATGGAAGATGTGATTCGCCTGGATATTGTGCCAAGTATGGGTCATATAGCTGCATGGATTTGGAATCTAACAACATTTTAGACACACAACTTGTTCAGGTAACAATTCTTCAACAACTGTACATAAAACATGGTTAGAATAGTCACATAATTATGTTACATAGTCCAATGAAGTGACGAACTCTGGAGCAATGGAACTTGAGGGATTAAAGAGATGTCTGGCAAAGTTTGATGAAAGTGGGATGAAGGTGAAGTCAATGAACACAGACAGACATGCTCAAATCAAATCCTACATGTCAAAACAAAGACCAAAAATCGAGCACTACTTTGATGTATGGCATGTAGCAAAAGGTATAGATTGTCATAAAATACCAACCTTTTACACATTTCATCAATAATCAAATTCCAACAGGAATCAAAAAGAAAATTTTGGCAGCATCAAAAAAAGTGTTTGCAAATTATTGTCGGATTGGGCCCAATCAATTTCCAACCATGTATACTGGTGTGCTGCTTCCAGCAATGGTGATGAAGAACTTGTCAAGGCAAAGTGGTTGTCAGTTTTCAGTCATATATGTGACATCCATTAGGGACATAGTGATGTATTCCCAAAATGTGAACATGATATGTTAGAGCCTAGAATGTGGATAAAAAAAGGTATTGTAGGCAAATAAATTTCAAAGTAACATCAACATTCGTTTTCTTTTTGTTAACTAACTTCTGATCTTAGGTTTAAAAGCTTATGTTGAGCTGTCTTCGATTGTTGAGTCCAAGTATCTCATGAGAGATATTGGAAAACTCAGTTATCAGAAGCAGACTTCATCCATCGAAGGTTTCCACCGAGTAGTGATTCTTTTTGCACCAAAACATACCCATTTTTTCTACAGATCAATGGAAGCAAGGTAATATAATTATGACTAGTGTATGATTACTTAAAAAAGTCATCATTGCAAAAGCAATAATTTGCAATAGTTGTAAACATAAACTTAACATTCATTTGTACATTGTTTATTGCTGCTCTTCATTTCAATGAGAATGGAAATAAACCTCAGAAAACGAAGAATGGTGGGCAAACAGAAGAGGCATTGATTTGGAGAGTGGCTTATTCAAAGTCAAAAGAAAGACAAGGGGTCATCAAACCAGTGAAAGTTGACAGCACTTATGGTTAGCACAGAAAAATAAACTTACCTTTTCTCAAAGTGCAATGCAAAGCCAACATAAATAATGATTTGCTTTTCAGGATATGTTAAGGACTTGATGAAAGAAGTTTTGTACTGCAGACGCATTAATCCATCACTGTCCAAAGCTCTTGATGTCGCTGGAGTGAAAGAAATACCTGTCCCATTGACTCACCACAAATTAAAAATCAGCAAAGCTGAAGCCATTAAGCAACATAAATCTCGCTTTAATAAATAAAAAGAAATAACGTCCCACATGAAATAAACATAATTACAAATGAACAGACTTTGTCATACGCCATAAGCCCTACCATTCAGTAGTGTTGAGCATATTCAAATCCTTTGTATTCTCCAGAAGGCGAAGGAAATGCTTTCCGGATTTTGTCCACAGCACAAGAAGGTATGGGTAGTCGGTACTTTTTTCCCAACCTGCCATGCACCCAAGCCGTCCACTGTCGGTACGCCGTGTAGCGTAATGCTCTGAACGATACAAAATTTTGTCTAAGATACTTATCGACATTATACACTTGTCGACATACACGTAATTACACTTCTAAGGTAATATTTACTCGTTTTCTTTACTCTCAGGCATAGGTCCAATGTCATGTGTGTACGCCGACCATAGCTGTTTTTAAGACAGCTTCGTTTGTACATACTGTGGCAAACTCTTCCTCTTGTGTGATGCAAATATGATCGCCATGTATCAGAGGATCAGTGCTGTTTACCTCTTGGCAACATATACTTTCCCGTCCTGTACTCATGACCACACAAAAGCCACACTCGCACCTAAAAGATAAAAACATTCTTTCTACTTTGGGAAAAACAATGAAGCATCAATAAAATGCAACTAACCATTCAACATTTCCAATTCTGTGAATGTATTCATCTTCGCTTTCCGATGACGAAGAATTGTCATTACTATGACCACCTTGCGCGTTGGCCAAAGGCTCAAACATGTGAGGTTGTACCTCATTGTTATTGCCGACAATATCATAATCGGCTTCTTCAGAAGAAGAATCCATTAATTTTTGTTAAATAGAAAACAGTAATAGCAAACTACCGAAAGCCGTGCAAGAATTGCGTGCAAGTCGTAGAACGATATAAGAACGATGCTTGTTTATGTCAACTAATACGTCACTATTTCCCAGTTCCCAGACTTAAACAATCTCACGGCGTTTTAACAATGGTCATCGAATATCGTGTTTTTACCGATTATAACCCTAAATATCTTTTTAAATATTTCGCGGACGACTTTGAAACTTGGTACGTCTTATTTTCACGCTATAGGCATTACAATAAAATAAAGTTGTCTTCTAGCTTGCATGTGCCTTTAAGAAATCATATATGTAAAATTAATTTTTGTAAAAGTTTGCATTGTTATATTTAAACAATTAAATGAAAAAATAAATGAATAAAGTTTTATAGTATAATAATAGTGCTGTAAAACAAATTAATACCAATTTGGAAAACGGACATCTTGCATTCGGAATTTGTTTTATTTTGTTTTACTTCAATTTATCAGCTTGTCCTGGTTATTGGCCTAACATCAGAAAAAGCGATGATATGAAGAAATGCAGATGTCTATTTTCGGAATTTGTTTTATTTTGTTTTACTTAAAATTGTCTGCTTGTTCTGGTTATATTAATTCTGGGTATGACAACCATTATGCTAACTGGGGTATTGGGATGCTTTTTGCTGTGGACACAAAAGGTACCTGGTTTAATTTCTATTTTAGCCTTACCAACACTATTAATCACACTGTTCTCTGATGGTTAATCACCACTTTTTCATGTAAAAACTAAGTACATTTATTAAGTATTATTTGCAACACTTCTTAATATCTTCTTTCTTCATGTCAATTTTGGAAGAACAAAAAACATAGAAACAGTACTAAAACAACGATATAACTTTTTTAACAAACTATGAAGAAAGAAATCATTTGTAAAGTTTTTTCTAAGTTTACTTTTTGACAAATTTTCTATTTATAAAGTGTAACACGTAGTTTTGTAATATTACTTTAGAGAATCCTAAAAAACAACAATATATTGCTTATAATGTTGTACATATTAGTACAATAATGTGGCAACATTTAATATTGAATTTCATGAAAACAAAGATAGGACTTTTACAATTCTTATCTACGTATAAAAAAACTTGTTTCATCTAACAGCATCCAAAACTATCTTAAATTTAATAATAAATTTTTATGTGTAAACTAAACTTTCTCAAGTTGTAGTGATGATTTGAACCAAGGCCCTAAAAATGAAACTCTTATGCTGTACCAACAGACATACTCTGGCTTTCGTAGAAACTATACAATCTTTCTAATTTATTTTTGTTAACAACACTTTTCTCAACTATTAATTCAATGCAGTACATTTATGAAAGAATTATCCTAAAAGGATTTAAACCCTGCATAATACATTGTATACTTTATAAAATTGCCAAGTATTACGAAAAAGAAGTAATATTACACTTTGTGTATTTAAGAAAACAACATTTTTGGTACCTACAAATAATGTAATAAATATGTATATCAATGCTTGTTTAATGCAAACTGTAAGTTATGGTAGTAAGTAGGATCTTTAACAGCACTTAGAACATATAAGCCAATGTGCAAGTCTTGAACATAGTATATATGTTCAAACATACAGTACTTACAATAATTTTGAGGAAGTGAGAGTTTTCTAAGTGACAATTTCTTTATTTTAGTATTAAAACCGTGCAACATTATTATAAAAATCTGGACAGTACATTCAGAAGTGAAAGTTTTCAACTTAGTTGCTTTTTACATAGAAATCATATTAAAGTGTCCAAATTAAGCATGAAATAAATCACACCATATTATATTTAACCTATACTTTTTGTAAACCCATAGGGGATTGAAACTTCTCCCATCTGATTAAAAATCTGATGGTTTATTTTCCACTTAGCTAATTACGCTTCCTTATAGAAACTACAATTTTGCAAATTTTTATTTGCTCATAAAACTTATCTTAGCATTCAACTAAGTCTAGTAAAATAAAAGAAGCATTTTTTAAATATATCCCAACACAAAAAAATTCAATTCAATAAATTAAAACAGTTTACAATAATATATAACTGTAATCATACTATTATTAAAATTACAAACTATTGATAAATAGCAAAGATATTTGTAAACAGTTGTGTCATATAGAATGTAAGCTGTGGTAGTAAAGTGGTTAATACATTGCATTGTGGCTGCAAAAGCCCAGGTTCAAATCCTGGCCATAGCATTTTACATCTAACTTTACTGTATTTGCTGTTACTTCATTACATGTTCAATTGTTGTAATTAAACTTCTGTTTATGTATAACAAAAGGCTATACAATTAATATAGGTTTCAGGCTAATACTTTAAAAAAAATGCTTTAAGTAAATTAAAAAAAGATGCAACATGTTATATAAAACACAGTTTATTACACATTTTCTTAATGTTTGAATAATTTAAACTTTCATTAAAATTACCACGTTTTTACCGGCAGAACTTGCATAAATTTAAGAGACTTAAAAATCAAAGGTTTTACAAGAAACTTCCTAAACGATTTTAAACATATGACTGACATGTAATGTTACTGTTGTTTTGTATTAATTTCATCAATTTGTAATTTTTTTTTAAAATATCTTAATCAAGCCACTTTCATACTGTTAAGAAAGCATATATGTAAAATTAATGCTTTGTCAAAGTTTGTATTGTTATATTTAAACAATTAAATGAAAAAATAAATGAATAAAGTTTTATAGTATAATAATAGTGGTGTATAACAAAATAAAACCAATTTCGAAAACGGGCATCTTGCTTTCGGATTTGTTTTATTTTGTTTTACTTCAATTTATCAGCTTGTCCTGGTTATTGGCCTAACATCAGAAAAAGCGATAATATGAAGAAATCCAGATGTCCATTTTCGGAATTTGTTTTATTTTGTTTTACTTAAAATTGTGTGCTTGATCTGGTTATATTAGCTCAGGGTATGACAACCATTATGCTAACTGGGGTATTGAAATGGTTCTTGCTGTGGACACAAAAGGTACCTGGTTTAATTTATATTTGAGCCTTACCAACACTATTAATCGCACTGGTCTCTGATAGTTAATCACCACTTTTTCAAGTAAAAATTAAGTACATTTATTAAATACTATTTGCAACACTCCTTCATATCTTCTTTCTTTATGTCAATTTTGGCAGAAGAAAAAACATAAAACAGTACTAAAACATCGATATAACTTTTTTAACAAACTATGAAGAAAGAAATCCTTTGTAAAGTTTTTTCTAAGTTTATTTTTTGACAAATTTTCTATTTATGAAGTCAATATAAACATTACTTTATTGACAAACTTTTTCAACATATAAATCGAAGAATGCACTATAGAAATATAATCATAAAGAAAGATGCTGGGAAAATAACTATTTCTAAAAAAACTGGAGAAATATGAATATAAACAAGCGTATTTGAATGAAAATGATGGGGAAAACAATTTTATTACTATCTCTTGTATGAAAGACGTATTAAGTATATACAAATAGTTATATAATCATAATTTGACATTTTTTTCAAAAATAATATTCCATTTAGTTGTTTAAATTAATTTTTTCGATGAGTTGTTTTAATTGATCAAGTATTTTTTTCTTTTTCAAATAGTTCAGTTAAAAAATTTACTCCATCTTCATTATTACATATGATATTTCCTTTTATAAGTGAATAAAACTGTCTACTAACACAATTTTCTTCGTTGTTAAAATATAGCATATTGCAGGAGTATTCAGGATTTGTACTGATTTCTTTGTTGTGTTCTTCAAGTTTTTGTTTTTTCTGGGGTCGTCCTCTTTTTTTATACTTTCAGTAACATCCATCAATTTCCCTTTTTTTACTATACAATCATATAATTTTCAGGAGGACTTGTAAATACTTGTTTAGGATGAGCAAATACTTGACGTTGAACCGATTGTTCAGGTCAATTAAATTCATTGGTTTCTAATTCTCTTATAATAGTACTGTAACATCTCTTCCTATTGTATATTGAATACAAAACACATCACTCAAAGATCAATCAACTTTATTATGTGTCTTTAGCTCTGTGTCAGCCTGTACTTATATACAACACACGGAAGTAGCATTATAATATTACTAATTATAAATGATAATCCTTACATCCCTCTTCAGGGGCGGATCTAGGCCATGGCGAAAGTGGCTTGAGCCACGGTCAGAATTCTGCCACTTAAGTTTTTCCAGGGTTTACTTTTTCATGATTAAAAATTTTGCTCAAATACAGCAGAATTTGATCAAAAGAAAAAATTGAATGAATTTTGTAATTTTTTGTCAAAAATTTGTGTTAACAGAACAAAAACTTCAAATGAAACGTCTTGTTAAAATAGTATTATCATCCAGTTAAACTCTGAACTGTAAAATCACCGAAAGCGTCTCGAGTCTTGCCGAATACGCCATGAATATGCTCGGAATATGTTCGTAAATTCGAGCCTGCAATCTCAGAATGAAAAGCCACGGTCAGCGTTCAAAAAATTTCGCAATAGTTGCTAAATATAGTAACCTTCAGCCACGGTGCAGCGTTGCAAGCCAATCACAGGGAACGTTTTGGTCATGTGCGCCACGGTGAGCCACGGTGAATGTATTTTGATTGCGCAATAAATGCAAGTCATATGCAATAGCTCGATTCTTGTCGACTTGAAAAAACGCTACTTCTAGTTCTACTCAGCGATTAGGATCAATGGAGACTTCTAAAAAGATCGATGTTCTTGAAAAGCTCGTCCAAACCTTTCAGCAAGAGCACGCTTGCGAAATTATTTCTGGTGAATTGTCTAACTTGAGACAACACTGTGGTAAAATAATCAACGAGGAAAGACTTCGTCGTATAAATTCTACTGGCGATATTATGCTACGAACTTGTTCATTTTCAAAACTGCTGTTCTCTGAAAGCCAAATTGAAAGATCAGGACCCAATGTCCCTGTTAGGTAAGAATTTACATGTATTGGGGTATTATTTATATTTTTATTTACGTTTGACATCTTGGCCTGAAATATATGATCAATCCGTTAATTT